CTCCCCCCCCCCCCCACTAATTCCTTGCTTGACATCCCCTCCTTTGATCAGTCCGTCAGCCGGTCACACAAGTCCTTTCTCCCATTTCCTGCACACAACTGACATTCCATTCCTATTCCCATTCCAGCCTTGGCCGAAAAGATCATGGCAAACGAGGCACACATGATGGCGGTTCCCGAATGGCAGTCTACAGCCCAGTTCCCACCAAATCCTAGCGACCCATCTCCGCCTCCGGCCCTGCAAGCACACGCAAGCAATCAGACAGCTGCGAGCGGTTCCTCTATAAAGGAAACCGCTGACGTTAACGCATTTCATTATCCTAATACGAGATCGGCGTAATGTTCTTGTTTCTTGTCTTCTTTTCCTGGTCAAGACTGTTTCTTCGTGAAGTCTGTTACATTCCATAGTCATTTTCATTGTCTATACACTAAACAATACTTATAAATGGAGAGTGAGTGTGTGTGAGTGTGCGTGTGCGAATGGATATGAAGTTCAATATTAGTCACGTTTCACAGACGACTTGCACCAAATGTACAAATTTTATTTGAGTGCATTAAATTATTATGTATTTACTACTGAAATGAATAAAAATTAATAAACTATGTAAATACTGTTTACTAACCTCTACCTTTAAGCTAACAGATTTATATCTTTTAAAAAATCACATTCACAGCAACAAGGTGAAATAAATTTATGTCTATATATTAGACGTAAGCATATAAAGGAACACAATGATTGTACTAAATACCAAGACAAGCACAACAGAAAAAAATATCTACGGCTGACATCCAAAATGTTAATAATAATACAAAGAATTGTAAAAAGTTTAAGTATATTTATTTACAAAGAGTATATATTTATTTGAAAGCACATCTGTACATCAGCACAATCACCAGTTGCTACACCACAAATGGTACATTCTGAGTCCTTGTGAATAAAAAAGAAATGAAAACCAATTACCATCTCATCTAAGACCAAATCAATCTCTGTGCAACCTGCTGGCAACCCCTAAGTATTCTCCTGCAGGTTGCGTTCCCTAATCCCATTGCAAAGAAGGGATGTAATATAAATGCAAATACACAAGCAAAACTTTTGCTTTAAATAATAGTATAAATACCTCAAGGCATCACATTGCACAAACCCAATGATGCAAAATTTGTTTTTGTAAACTACTCTTATCATTCAAATATCTTACTTATATTATATTGTGGGAGGAGCTCAGAGGTAACAAATGCACATAAAGGTCAGGATACACATAGCTTACATGGCAAAAAAAAAATGCCAACTTAAATATATACATGTCTAAAACAGTCATCATATGGTCACAGCATGACAAATGCTACTACCATAACAACAAATAACAGAAACAATTACATTAGTTAACATGTATCACATCCAAACTAAAAACATAATTACCATAAAAACAACACAGGCAACAAAAGAGAACAAAGTGAAAGCACTAAGAGTGGGAAGGAACCTTTGAAATCCCATGCTTGAGGACATACATAAAACAATTAAGTAACTAGTTGTGAAAACTACACAACACAACATCAAATTTAACATAACATAAAAGCTGCCAAAAACCCTCTCCATCAGCTACAATATATATATATATATATAAAAATAAAAGGGGAAGGGAAAGTGACTCAGTTAATCTCTGATCACCTACAGCCGGTAAATCTGCAAGAAAAAAAGAAAACACAATTACTTTATGAATATTTAGTAAAAACAAAACAAAATGAAGACAATTACTATGTAAATAAATAAAATGCTACTACTCCTTCAATGAAAGAAAAAGAGAAAAAAACAATTACTTCTGGACATGAGTAAAAAATATAATAATAATAATAAAATACTAATACTAATAATTACTACTTTCTAATAAAGAACAGAAAAGAGAAGAAAAAAAATGTAGATTAAATTGTCTACATTCACTAATAAACAATCATTATACACTCATGACTGCAAAATGCAAAACTCATCAATATTTCAGCATGCTTAACTATAATTATGTACAACCATGGCATAAAAGACATCAAAATGCATCACACGACAGAATATTAATATATTCTAATTGCTCTAGGCAAGACAGGGAAGAGCAAAGGGAAACGACACAGCATTCTGTTCACGATGGTATAAACACAAACCATCTTAATAAAACTCAGATTGTATGGAATTTAGATACTGAATTTGAGAAATACCTGGATCAAACAGTCAGGCAGTAAGATACTAAATCGTACTGATCTTGCAAACTGTTCTTTTTCAATCATGGGAATGGTTACCAAGTGTTATCAAATACATTTTTTTTCAATGATGATACCTATTTGGAAGTAACGCAAGCAATTTTCATCCTTCAAAATAGTCTATTTTTTATGCATTTTGTATCTGTGTACCATATCAGGTAAAATCACATAATTGTTCATTCCATTTTCTTCTTTTATTGACCTGATGTCATCCAAAAAATACAACTTTGATGAAAACTAAATGGTTTCCAGTGTATGTGCATGTAATAGATTCACATCAGCACACGTACATATAATCTCACTCATTCACCATACAATCAGTGCAAATACAATAAACACACACACACAGACCTTACAGAGTCACACACAAAAACAGACATGAGCATAAACACAGACACACATCCATAATAGCAAATCTACAAGCCTAAAGTAAACTGTTGAAAATAGGGGAGGGGTGATTCTAAAATAAAAGAAAGAAAAATCATTATATATAAATCATAATGCCCCTAACCCTTACCCATGTGCCTTTCTTTCTTTTCATGCAAATTGTATGTGTTAATGCATCCAACAAAAAATTTAAATATAATTCAGAGAAACATGGAAAAAGAAGAGAGAGAAAAAAAAAAAAACTACCCAAATGATTACCGATAGCAAATATAGTTAAACATAAAGTCAGTAAAATGAACAGCAGCCACCGAAAAGAAAAGAAAAGAAAGATGGAAAAATCTGATTGTTATGCACTGTATTCTATTTTCTTGTTATCATACTTTTTTGTACTGTTTTTTTTTACAAGTTGCTGTGTTAATGTATTTTGTCACAATTACACCTTTTAATAGTCTATGTTACTACAGTTCCTTTCTTTGTATCATTTCCTCTCTCTGTAAGTCAAATTAGCACAATGGGAGAAAGGAAGAAAACGACAACGAATCCATCCATTTCTATTAACAAATTCTGAGAAATACATTTGTAAAATAATCTGAGGTATATCTAAATTAATATATTCCAAGACAATTGATAATAATGATCGACATCATTTCAGGCAAATTTTGTATTTTGTAACATGCAGCAACAATTTACAACATTTAAATACCTCATAACAATGACTTCTATATTGTTCTACAGAAATTTTCAACAGCATCACTTCTATACATTTATAGAAGAAAACCTTACACATTCAACACATTCAGAAAATTATGTAAATTCAAAACATTCATTGGCTATCTCAAAAAAGTACTTGCATACAACAAGAACAAAATACATACTCTTACTTACACTTTATCCTATGCAGTATGTTTAAAAATGTAAAAATACCTCATACTAAAAGCAAAATAAACACTAACTAATAATGTTCTTTAGCTAAACATCTGGATGCATCTTTTTCTCCAAATCTGAATATATATATTTTTTTCAAATACCTATCTACTAAAATCACTCATATAATCCCTGTACTCCTAAAGACACAACTCCTCTTTATAGCAAAAAAAAAAAAAAAAAAAAAAAAAAAAAAAAAAAACAGACAGACAGACAGACAGACAAAATAGGTATCACAATGGTTAATGGTTAATGGTTAAAAGCAATAACAAATTGTTAATACCTTGAGTCGGACTTCAAATAATATCTAATCCTAACATAACTACGACAACCTCTGCACCAATAATGTTTATCCTCACTTTCTATACCAAAAAGCAGTATAACATAATTGTCAAAATCCTGATGACTTGAAAATTAAAAACAAAACAAAAAAGTTTTTTAAGATAACAAGATAGCATGATATAAAATGCCACAAGTCTTTAATACATCAAATTGAATTTGCCGAAAGTTTTGTTACGAGGCAAGAGCAGATATGTTTTAACTTTATACATTTAATTGTTGGAATGATTCTAGTCACAACTGAGCTGTACCATTCATTCAACATGTTCTTCTTATAAAATACTTGACAAAGCAGAAACTTAGGTATCTCCTGTTTTCTCTTTCAGATTCTATAATAGAAGTCTCTTGTTGAGAAACTTCTTCAGATTTGAAATGAAAGTAATCAACCTTTTCATGATTTCAGCACACAAGGTGGAGTACATTTGCTGCAAACTTAATCCTACTGTAGTCTAAAACATTCACATTTATTTGAACAAAAAAAGGCTAAAACTTATAAAACTGGGAATAAAAGTTTAATATGTGAATTACCTTATCCTCACTACATAGCTGTTGGAATTCGCTATAGTTTGGTGAATGCCTAGCTGAATTTTAGAAATCAGAAGATGGTGTCTGCAAAGCTTCCAGTAAAATTCAGAGAAATAGTAACATTTACTTCCTTATCTTGTTTTTTTTTCACCAGAAAACGTAATTCCTCGTCACATTGGCTGTCTACTACTGAATATCTGTGAGGATTCTAGATACTGCAATGTGTTACGCACACTGAGTCTTGCTTCTTTTTACCAAGTTATGTCACTAACTGTATATGGTGAATGCATTCTTTTCCAGCGCTGCATGGAATTTCAACAGTCGCTGGACAATGACAGATTATTTTTCCTAACATATAAACCTGACAGCAACAGAATTATCAATGATGATACACTCTATGTATAAAACTATTTAGTAATCTTCCTCAAAAAATGAATTGTATTAAGAATGATGAAAAGATGAATCTGGAAATGTCACCAGCTCAAGTATTCTTTTCTGCTAAAAACAAATATTCCGAAAGATTTAGACTTTATAAAAAAAAATAATTACAAAATACCATTCAATTAGTTAGCTAACAAAGATGAAACAGTGCTATAATAGGTAAAATTGCAAGAAAGTCAAAGAATCTCATAAAAAGGTTTGAGTACCTGATCTCTGAGAGCTTTTTCCAAACATACACATTTAAAGAATATTAATTAAACTTTCCCTGAATGACCGCAGATAGAATAGGACATGAAAACAGTGTCCTATCATTGGACATAATAAATATAAATTTCCTTTACCTTCCTTGAATGCCCCTACAATACATGTTATATCACCTCTAAAAAATGGTTTACACATTTCCACTATATCTGCTTGAAATAACACAAAAAAAATAATAGTATAAAGCATAAAAATCACTGACAAAAATGGCAGTGTTAGTGAAAAATACAACAACCTGGGTGACTAGACTTTAAAACACTTTGTAATCAAATATTCCTGCTATTAAAGCAAACATTAATATACATACAGCAAGTCATTAAAGATTAAGGATTTTTTTGAGCACTGGCAAACTGGAACTCAGTTTTAGGATTTCCTATTCTTAATTACAACTTTCTTTTCAGTCATATAAAAAGAATGGTTTTGGAAAGTGGTATAAGCTTTATCATCCTAAAAAATCTAATACAGATAAATATGCAAGAGGAATGAATATTCATTGTGTACAAAAAAACAAAAACATACAGTATATATGAGGTCAAGTGCATCCAATGGAATTCTCAAGTCAATTGCTTAAAAATGCGCTTAATAAATGTTTTGCGAGTTCAAACTTCTACCTATAATATAGGCATAAATTGGTTCTTATCAATGTACTAAAATCATGAGCAAATTGGTCTGATAACACTGTTGGACGTGCATGTTCTCATACATCCACACACACACACACACACACACACACACACACACACACACACACACACACACACACACACACACACACACACACACACACAAACACACACCACACACACACCCAAAACACACACACACACACACATCCACACACACACACCACACACACCCAAACATCCACACACACACACACCTAAACATCCACACCCAAACCCACACACCCAAACACCCAAACACCCACACACCCAAACACCCACACCCACACACCCACACACCCAAACACCCACAAAATTATATGACAAAATACTGTATAAGATATTAACCATATTGTCATGTTAAAATACGTTTGCCTTGCATATTCATTCCTTTACCATATTATCTGTTAGAGATATATACATTAAAAAGCGATACAGATAAAAGCAAAGATATGAGAATATTAGAATATAATAAAAAAAGACTAAATTACAAGAAGGAACTAGTTGGGAATATATATGAAAGGAATGAGACACAAAAGTTGCCTGTAGAAGAAAATCCAAATTGCTTCAGAACCAACTCTGCACAAAAATTTTAGCTATGAAGATGCTTAAGGCTTGTCTCATATCTACCCCTTCTAGATCCTCCTGAAGTGGAATAAAAAGCTGAAGTTGTAAGAATTGCAATTAAGACTCTCAGGTGAAAGAAAGCTTTTGTATAGGAAGCATCACATGCCATGTGGGACACTGAGAAGGTTTTATCAAAGAACTATCTCCCCTTCTCTACTGTAACTCGGTACCATGAAACAACATGATCAAAAAGGAGATCGTTGAGAGGGACGAGGAAAAGAAGGTGAAGGTGAAGATAATGGTGGAAATTATGGCGAAGATTAAGATGAAG